ATGAAAATCATAGCCAATAGTGAATAAAATGAATCACTCTTATGAAAGTAACTTCAAAAGCTAAATCAGAATAATCCTTTTCAAATATTTACATGAAAGTTATATTCATAGATTCCCAAAGTACAAAAACACACTTGAAGGTACATTTTTCTTTGGTCAAGTCCCAGAGCCTCTATGTCTATGTCTTTTACTGTTTTATCCCTTGGGAAAAAAGATCCTTATATGTTTTTGTAAATCCTTCTTAACTCACTTTCTAAGCACTTTTCTAACCTTTTAGTCATCCTGATGGCTTTTCATGAGACTCTCATTGTATTGGAGAGAAGAGAAGCTACATAGAAATTTATTCATTCAGATGAGCACGTTCATAATCTTTATGGTGTAGGTAAATTTTATGGAAGAGAAACCACCCTAATAAATAATGATTTCAGAGAAACATGACCTGAAACATTCCTAGACGACTATAAATTCTCAAACATTAATTGAAAGTATGATAAATGGTACTAAACAGTATATACTTAAGCCTTCTTGTAAAGACATGCTCATGCACTTTGAAAAGAAATACCAAAAAATTTCCACTTCACTTACTTGTTTCTATCTTTCTCTATGCAGGTGCACAGACATTTCAATAAAGGAAGCCAGACTCTTTTCTCCTCCTCTGATACAGAGTTGGAATCCCATTGGCAAATAGATAACTATTTTTAAGGCTGAATTAATTTTTTTACACCCCAAGGCTCCATTCAGTGACAAATGAATAAAAGTTAACATTGTACTAAAACTGTTTTTCTCCTTTGTCCTGTAATTATTTTGCACAGCAATTTTTTGAAAAATAAATAAACAATGACAACAAAAGTAGACTAAACTAAAACAAGCTGCCAGTAAGTACTCAATACTTGGGGTCTCAGTTAAATAACTGAAGGAAAATAAATTACATTACAGCTACAGAGGATACTGTTGTGACACTACCCAGTATGCCACTGTTTGCACGTAGCAATGAAGGAAAATTCTTTTCAAATCGTTAAAGAACGTAGCGATAGAGATGAATTTTCATTTCCT